GACAGGCAGATTACATCCATCACAAATTCATGCTATTCCACCTCAACTATATCCTTAAGGGAATTATTTGTAACAGTGCCCAGCACACAAGGGTGACTTAGGTGGGAACAGAAAATTAAAATGTTGCTCAATCCCTCTTTTAGTTCCTCTGGAATTTTCTAAGGCAGCCTTTATATCACCATATAACTCAAGCTTTTAATCTTATCTATTTCCACCTTTTCTTTTAGCTTATGTCCTATCAAACCTCCAAGATTACACCTCTCTCTCTTTTTAAAGATTTTATTTATTTGAGAGAGCGAGCAGGTGAGAGATAGAGAGAGAGAGTTACGAGCAGGAGGAGGGGCAGAGGGAGAAGCAGGCTCACTGGTGAGGACCCTGGGATCATGACCTGAGCCGAAGGCTGCTGTTTAACCAACTGAGCCACCCAGGGGCCCCAAGATAACATCTGTTTACAAATAGTAACAATTCCTGTGAATAAAGTGAAAACTAACCAAAACATTTTATAAGATGAATATAGTTTTGATAACCAAATTGGACAGTTCAAAGGAAAACTTTACATGAATTTCTCTTAATAAACATACATTAAAAAGTACTAAGTAACATAATAGCAAATTTATTCTAGCAATGTAAAAGTAAACAAGAAAATTCTAAGCCATCATGACCTCAAGGGATTTAGCTCAGGACCACAAGGATGGCTTAAGCTTAGAAAATTAATGGGAAAAAACACAATATACTATTTAAAGTTTATATATTAAAAGTCACATAATCTTAACAATACAATAGTCATTATGCTTTATGATAAAATATTAGAGGTATTCCTTTAAAAACCAATAGGCATCTTTATGTTGTCCCTAACACACCTTCTAGTCAACGTTTTATTATGGTTCTAATTAGGACAATAAGAAAAAGAAGAAAGGGGTGCCTGGGTGGCTCAGTCAATTAAGCATCTGCCTTTGGCTCAGGTCACGATCTCAGGGTCTGGAATCCAGCCCCGAGTCAGGCTCCCTCTCTTCAGGGAATCCGCTTCTCTTTCTCCCTTTCCCCCTCCACTCCACTCATTTTGTCTCTCAAATAAATAAAATCTTAAAAAAAAAAAGAGAAAAGAAAAAGAGATAAAAGGTAAGGATTAAAAAGGAAGAAGTAACTGTCAAAATTTGCAGACTATGATTATCTATGTAGAAAATACAAGATAACAAACAGGCAAGCTAAAAAATGAATTCAGGGACAATACTAAATAAATGCTGGATATAAATAAGTGTACCTATGCATTAGCTACATAAATTAGAAAATAAAATTTAAAAATACAATTTACAGGGATGCCTGGGTGGCTCAGTTGGTTAAGCGGCTGCCTTTGGCTCAGGTCGTGATCCCTGGGATGGAGTCCCCACATAGGGCTCCTTGCTCAACAGGGAGCCTGCTTCTCCCTCTGCCTCTGCCTGCCTCTCTGTCTGCCTGTGCTCACTCTCTCTGACAAATAAATGAATAAAATCTTTAAAAAAAATACAATTTACAATAGTAACTAATCTACAAGATACCAAAAATTAAATTCAACAAATGATGTACAAGGCTTTTCAGAGGAAAAATATATAATTATATTGGAAGATACAAAAGATCTAAATAAATGGAGAAATATATCATATTCAAGTATGAGAAGATGGCAACTGTGCCCAAGTTAATAAATGCATGACCTATAATTTTAATGCAATTCTGTTAACAGTAGTCCCCAGGCTGATTCAAAAATCACATGGAAGAAAAGGAGGCCAAAAGAACCAAGACAGTTCTGAAGAACCAGCTGAGGCTGAAGACTTTAACATACCTCAGCAAAGAAGATACAAAGATGGCAAATAAGCATATTTGCTTCAAATTATATGTTGTCAGGGAAATGCAAAATGAGATACTACTGCACATGTATTATAATAACCAAACTACAGAGCTCTCACAACACAACTTCTGGCGAGAATGTGGACTAACAAGAACTCTAATTTGTTACTGGTGGGAATGCAAAATGGCACAGCCACTTTGGAAGACAGTTTGGTGGTTTCTTATAAAACTAATCATACTCTTACCAAGTGATCCAGCAATTGCACTCCTTGGTATTTACCTACATGTTGAAAACTAATGTCCACACAAAAACTTGCACACTGGTATTTATTTCAGCTTTGTTCATATAACTGCCAAAACTTGGAAGAAACCAAGATGTCCCCTGCTAGGTGAATGAACGAACTACGGTATGTCTACATGATGGAATATTATTCAGTGCTAAACAGAAATGAGCTATCAAGCCGACATAGAGGACATTTACAAACATATTACTAAGTAAAAGAAGCCAATTTGAAAAAGTTATACACTGTACAATTCCAAATACATGACATTCTAGAAAAGGGAAAACTATGGAGACAGTAAAAAGACAGGTGGTTGCCAAGAGTTGGGTTGGGGGAGAGATGAATAGGCAGGGCACAGAGTATTCTCAGGGCAATGAAAATACTGTGTGTGATACTGTTGGAATGGATATATGTCATTATACATTTGTCTAAATCCATAGAATACACAATGCCAAGAGTGAACCTTAATGTAATCTTTGAGTGATTACGCTGTGTTAATGTAGGCTCATCAAATGCAACACATGTATCACTCTGGTGGGGGATGTTGATAATGGAGGAGGCTATGCATGTGTCGGGGCAGAGGATATATGGGAATTGTGAACCTAAAACTGATCTAAAAAATAAAGTCTCTGGGCACTTGGGTGGCTCAGTTGATTAAGAGTCTACCTTCAGCTCAGGTCATGATCTCAGGGTCCTGGGATCTAGCGTCGATCTTCCTGCTCAGCAGGGAGTCAGCTTCTTCCCCTCCCTCTTGCTCAAATAAATAAATTAAAATCTTGGGGCACCTGCGTGGCTCAGTCAGTTAAGCATCTGCCGTTGTCTTAAGTCATGATCCCAGGGTCCTGCTGCTTCCCCTGCTTGTGCCCTCCCTCTGTCAAATGAATAAATAAAATCTTAAATAAAAAAAAAACAACAAAGCAGTGGAGAATGGATGGGCTAGTCAAACAATGGAACAGTAGGTTAACCATAAGGTAAACAGTAAAATTAGATCTCTGACAACACACACACACCCACAAAATTCCAGATGGATTAAAGACCCATGTGTGATAAACACATCTTAAACATTTACATCCCTACTGGATTATAAGCTCCTTAAATTAGATCTGTCTTGCACAGTTGTATATTCAATCCTGTTTCGTATACACAAATACTTAAGATGACAGAAAGTAATTATAATGTGAGTATCTATGATCTCAGTACAGGGAAGGATTTCTTACAAAATATACAAAACAGCACAAGCTATTAAAGATAAAATTGATAAATCTGATAACACTAAAAAATGCCTATGAAACAAAAGTGCCTATTAAACAGAATTTAACTCCAAATTAAAGTGAAAAGACAAGTCAAAAAAAACAAAGACAAAATAGGAAAAAGATATGACAGATTTAGGATGAAGAAAAATTAGGTATAAAATGGGTAAATGACAAAAACAGGTAATTCAGAGAAGAGAAAAACTAGAGAGCTGATAAATGCATGAAAATTCTTGTATCACTAGTAATCAGGGAAATGCAAATTAAAATGAGATATTTCATAATTAGATTGGGCAAAATTTAAAAATCTGATACAACCCAAGTATGCAGATGAATATATGGGAAAATACAAACTCTCAATGCTCTCACAACGCATTGTGGAGAGCAAGTGGAAATAGCTATTTAGGTTGATGATGAACTTTTAGGAGTCTACCCCAGAGAAATTCTTACACAGTGCACTGAAGAGACACGTTTAAGAATGACAACTACAGTGCGTGTCTCACTAGCTCAGTTGGTGGACCATGTGTCTCGATCTCGGGGTCATGAGTTTGAGACCCATGTCAGGGGTAAAGATTACTTTAAAAAAGAAAAAAAAAAAGGACAACTATAGCACTGTTTATAAAAGGAAAAAAAAAACCCACAACAACTTACTGTTCTTTAGTAAGGAATAAACTGTAGTTTAATTATACAATGGAATTTGTAAGTAGTTAAAATGAATGAATTAGCTCTGTATGTATAAAAGGATATCAAAAGCCACTTTGAATTTAAGGAAAAAGGCAAGTTGCACAAGAATAGGTACAGTATATTAAAAAAAAAAACCTCAATTATTTTCCAAATTCCTTCCTGTAAAAGGGACTCTTTAGTCTACCCCTTCCCAACCCCCCCCAAACATGTAGTTTTCCTTCTTATATCTGCACTGGAATCCTACTCATCCTGTAAGGATCACTTTTAATGCCACCTTCTTCAAGATGCTTTCCTTGATTACCTCACTTTGAAGAGATTACTCCTTCTCTACCCTTCCACATCGTTTGATTTATGTCACCTGTGTGACAGGAATCGCACATTGCTTAGAATGTGCCTCTTTTTGCATGTCTCACATCTACTACCATACGAGTTCCTTAAGGTTAAGGGCATTGCCTCACACAAGTGTGTATTCAACTTAATAGTCACAGAGTTGGTTGAAAGGAATAATAAGTTTAATAAGACATGGTTCCTGTCTCAAGGACGTTATGAACTCAGGATGCAGTAGAGGGAGACAGATACACAAAATAATGATGAGAGTTATAAAAGCAGCACAACCGTACTGCTAGGGTAACAAAAGCAGGCATTCACTATGTTTATTAGTCTAATTTATCGGTGGAGGCCAAGGGAAGAGGGATGCTTGCTGTGAGGACAGACGGGCGGTAGGAACAAGATGAGATTTAAGTGGGTCTCCTCCCCGCCCCCTCAGGCAACGCGATAGGGTGCGAGTTTGATGGTTCAAGTCGAAGAAACTAGGGGTCAGGGTCATCAGGATCGGTGGATTGGGGTGGTCTGCTGGGGTAGGTTTGGAGTATGCTGGCGAAGGAAGAGGTAAGATCTGACTGGAAAACGGCTCAGCACCGTACCTTTTTCATTGCGAACCGGGACGGCTCCAGCCGTAGACTGAATGGGCGGTTGTTTCATGAGTGCGCTTGGGACCGACATGTTGATGGCAGCGGCGGTGACTCCCGAAACTTCAGTGATTCCAAACAGCGAACAGCAACAACGTCAACGAACAGGGGGAAAAACAACAACAACAACAAAAAACCCACTCCTTCTCCTAGAAGTACCGGACACCGCTGCGCGACAGACAGAAACGCCACTTACGGCTGAGCTAGAGAAACCGGAAATATGGGACCTGAGGATTCTGGGATTGTGGGCGGCGAGTCTGACTGCGCATGTTCTTATACCACTCTGGCATCTTAAGTCCTGCAGTGTTTGGACGTCGCTTCTGCCGGGAAATTGCTGCCTATTGGGCTTTGCTGTTAAAAAATCCTGTGGCGAGGCAGTTCCGAATTACGGGTATCTTTTGTTAGCTTGGTTTGAACTCGAGGAAGCTGGGATAGTGATGAATAAGGAATTGAGCAGATAGTGAAGGGCAGTTTGTCCCGACTTTTGAAAACTCAGCATTGGAGTTTAATGAGAATAGAAGTCCTGCCAGTAGCACCTGATTAGCTCAGTTGATGAGGCTGAGTGGGTTGTGGTAAGGTATTTTTTCGTCACGCGAGGGCAGCTGGTGGTGGTTTAGGCCATTGCCATGGAAAAATCCCCCAAGGGTCCTGGAGCATTGCCTGAAGTCAGAAGAGTGTGCTTTTTGGCTTTCCAGTTCTTTTCAGTTTCTCAAGACCGTCTATTAAAACATTCCTGGCTGGACAGTGTTTGTATATAAGTACATGAGTAATTATTAAGTATTTGCTGTGTTTACTGTGCTTAGCTCTCTAAGGAATATGGAATATTGTTTAAAGGCTTGAATTTTATTTAGGAAGTCTTCTAAGGCTTGGTGACAGAAGCAATCACAGTTTCCTAGCTAGGATTGTAAAAATAATACTGGCTTATTGGAAGTCGGAACACATTTGACCATTCAAAGGATTTCATAAGTGTGGTAGGGAGAGATGGGACAGCAGAGTCTTGCAGTCCAGAAATAGCGTGGTATATATTATTAAACACGGAAATGCTTGATTTTATCACTAACTTTTGAGTCAAGGAGTGGTTAAATTTTGGCAAGAATCAGGTCGTGGAGAGCCCTGCTGTTACTGTTAATAGGATTAGTTCTCAAATTACTTCCCTTGTGTTGTAAAATTGGGTTTAGGCTGGGAGGGGAAATAAAATTTCGCAAGGCTTGAACAAAGAACAGTGGAGGACTGATGTAAACAACCAAGGAAACAGTTTTGGGCTAGAAAGAAAAGAATCTTTAAGATAGAGTAGGTAGAAATTTGTAGTTTGAATTTAACAGCTCCAAAAACCATGCTGTCCGGAGGGAGTAAATATGATGGGAAAACAATTGTTTTTGACTCAGGGCAACTCAGAGAACGGGGGGAAAAGGTTACTATGGCTGTGACTGTAAGAAATACAGGGCACTAAAATCTTATTTGTTACTCTGTGATACAAAAATGATTTGATTATCACAACTTTTCCCCAGCCTTTGGGCTTTGTAAGGTCATCATTAGGATCTTAGTTAACTCGTGGGCAGATGATGAGGTGAAATTTAAAACAGCTGAAGTTACCAGCTCTTAAAAAAAATCGAAATGCTTCCCTTCCTAGGACAAGGTAATATGGTAGCCATAGGGCATAATTTTCTTGTGGTGAGGCTATAAGGCACCCGGGGGCACAGGTAAAGGCTGCCGGTTGATTTCGATTTTCTAGCCTCTATTCGTACGGCATCTAAGTGCGTCTGAATCTTTTCCAGGCTCACATTGCAAAGCAAGGTGTTTTTTTTTCTCAGCAGAAGCGCCAGTGTTTTTCAAAGCGAGATACTGGCATCAGCAGCATCAAAAAATTACCGGAATCTAAGGTAAAAATGTGTATTCGGTCCAATCGCATCTCTACAGAATTTCAGTTTGGGGTGACGCTGGTGAGCTTGACGCATGCCCCTCCCCTTCCGGCCAGCTGGCGTCAGAGCGCGCCTGAGCTGCCCGCCAGGCCCCGCCCCAGCCCCTTGCTCCTCCCCTTTGCCCTCCCCGCGCCTCCCGCCGCAATCTTGGCGGGAAGACGCCAGCTGCTAAGCCGCGGAAAGATGTCGGGGTCGCGCGTGGGCAGTGAGGCGAAGGTGGGCTCCAGACAGCGACTCCAGATGAAGGTGAGAGCCGACTTGTTGCTTTCGGGTGTACTCCTTCCTCAGTGTTTACTGAGGGATTGCCCGGAGCAGGCCCGGGAGGGCACGAAGACTTGGCACTCACCACCTCCACACTGCGGCACTAGTTCCCGCTCCTTGGGGCATGTTTCAGCTTAACGGGTTTTTCGGGGACGTTGTTTCAAAAGATAATCGGGGATCCCGGCCGTTTTCCTCTGTGGAAACTTCAGCGTTGGGGAAGGTTCTTATCAATAAGCCCGGAAATAGGGGCAGGATGGGATCAGGGACTCCGCATCTGCCTTTAGGGCATTTACTGCTGTCTTCCGACTCTAGAAACAATTCCATTTACTCCGAAGGTGACAGTTGGGGTAGTCTCAGTTACAAATGTAGTCATTATTACTATGTTATTATTGGTTAGCAGAGTTCTGGGTAAAAAATACACCCAGTATAATAAATACTTGAATTCAGGTTAATGAGTTAAGTATCTAGATTTTGGTGGGGGAAAAAGTTTGCTTACAGGCTATCTATCACTTTGGATTTATGTTTTCGTTATGAAATAAGAATTAGATTTATTTATACAGACCTGTAAGAAGAGGCATAGGACCTGGAATTCTAATGCTCTCTTTTCTTTTATTGGCCTGAATAGGTGAATGAGTATAAAGAAAATCAAAACATCACTTGTGTATCTCTGAGACCAGGACAGACTACAGTTTTAGGAAAAACACCTAAGGTGTATCTTGTTCCCTTTTCACTCAGTAATTACAAGCCAGACCAATTTAAGCCCCCTAAGTCCCTATTGGATAAGGATTTTAACAATGAAGTTGCATGTAAGAAATGTAAGAAGACTGAAATAAGGAAAACTTGCAAAAGGATTTTAACTCCAAGGATGGAAGGCACATCTTCCAAGGCAGAATTCACTCTGCAAAAATCATCCTTAGATGTTTATACTGAAAGTAACAAGCGACAATACAACAGCACTTCGGATACAGTGATTGTCAGTGTTGATATGGAAAGCAGTCACGATCTAGACAGTGATGAAGATACCACACCAGGCTTGGTAAGAATTTAATTACTAGCTTATTCAAATTTTTCTTATTTTAAAGTTTGAAATTCTGGTAAGCTAAGGTTATCCAGGGTTCATGTATGTTTAATTGAAATTTTATTTTTTAAATGTTGAACACATAACTTGGTTAATTTTGCTCTTGGTTTTGATTTGTCAAGGAGAGGATTGACTTAATCTTTTTTTTTTTTTTTTTAAGATTTTATTTGTTTGTTTGACAGAGATAGAGAGTGTGCAAGTAGAGGGAGCAACAGGGAGAAGGAGAAGCAGGCCCCCTCCTCAGTAGGGAGCCTGATGTGGGGCTTGATTTCAGGATTCTGGGATCATGACCTAGGCTGAAGGCAGATGCTTAACACACTGAGCCACCCAGGCACCCCTAATCTTCATTCTGTTTCCCTTTTTTTCCTCTCAGTTTCTTGTGGATATTTTTTTTTTCAAGATTTTATTTATTTATTTGACAGAAAGAGATCACAAGTAGAGAGGCAGGCAGAGAGAGACAGGGAAAACAGTCTCCCTGCTGAGTTGAGATCCTGAAGCTGGGCTCTATCCCAGGGCCCTGAGATCATGACCTGAGCCGAAGGCAGAGGCTTAACCCACTGAGCCACCCAGGTGCCCCTCTTGTGGATATTTTTGAATTTACATATACTTCATGGTGTCTTGCTCACCTTTACATATTTATGCACAATGTGCCCGAAGAAGTTGGCCTGTGAGACATAGAGCATTTGAGTGACCCTTGATATGAGGGTAGGAAAATCATCATTAATTGCTTATGATAGCTGAATAATAATTCCTCTAAATACAAAGAGGAGAAATATGGAGTAGAGAAGATACATGAGAAACACTTGTTAGTTTTATTGAAGATAATAGTTTGAATCAGTTTAAGGAATTAAGCATCTATTTTTTGGATTTCTGTTGCTTACCAGGAATGTTATACTTAATTTGAAGTGACAGATTTTTGTGCAAGATAAGATAAAACCGTACCGCATGTCAAAATGGAGCAGAAAATGATGATAGGGCAAAGAAAGATAGGATAATTCTGGTGGTGTTCTTTTGAAATAGGTCAATTTATGCTTTACTGTCTCAGGTAAGAACTAGGACTGCTAGTGGGACAGTATAGGTCAGTCATTACTGCATTGGACTGGGGTTGAAAGCGTAGGTTTTAGATGTGGCTACTTCTAAGAAACCTTGTGTTTTTAAGCATATCACTCTGTAGTGAGGAGATTAGATGAGATCAGCGCTTCTCAGACTCCAGCCTGTATCAGAATTTCCTGGAGGGTTTTTAATTTTTATTTTTTTTAAATTTAATTTAAATTTTTTTTCAGTGTTCCAAAATTCATTGTTTATGCACCACATCCAGTGCTCCATGCAGTACGTGCCCTCCATAATACCCACCACCAGGCTCACCCAATCCCCTACCCGCTCCCCTCCAAAACCCTGAGTTTGTTTCTCAGAGTCCACAGTCTCTCGTGGTTTGTCTCCCCCTCCTGGAGGGTTTTTAAAACTTCATTGCCCGACTCTACCACTAGAGTTTCTGATTCAGAAGTTTTGGAGTGGGGTAAAGAATTGGCATGTCCAACATAGTTTCCTAGAGATGCTGGTGTTGTTGGTCTGGAATGTCATTTTGAGAACCACTGGATTAGATTATCTGTTTGGCCTCTTTGACTATATGATTCTGAGTATATGAGGCTAGTGTGAAATAGATTTTATTTTTTAAGGTTTATTTAAAAAATTTTTAAATTGTTTTTTAATTTCCATTACAGTCAACATACAATGTTGCATTAGTTTTAGGTGTACCATATAGTGATTCAGCAATTCTGTACACTACTCAGTGTTCATCATGGTAAATGTACTCTTAATCCCCTTCCCTTCACCTATTTCACCCATCCCCCCACCCACCTCTTCTCAGGCAGCCATCTGTTTTCTATAGTTAAGAATCTGTTTCTTGGGTTTTCTCTCTCTCTTTTTTTCCTTTGCTTATTTGTTTTGTTTCTTAAATTCCATATATGAGTGAAATCATATGGTACTTACCTTTATCTGACTGATTACACTTAGTCTTATACTCTCAAGCTCCATCCATGTTGTTGCAAATGGTAAGATTTCATTCTTTTTCATGGCTGAATAATATTCTATTGTATATATGGATACACACACACTCTGCACCTTTTTTTTTCCTTAAGATTTTTATTATCTTTAAGTAATCTCTGTACCCAATGTGGGGCTCAAACTTAAAACCACAAGATCAAGAGACACATACTATACTGACTGAGCCAGCCAGTCACTCCCTAGATCTCTGTCCTTTCATATATTGATATTTTAGTTTGATCTAAGGAAACAGGGTCAGAAATTAGAACATTAGGAATTAAAGTACTGAAACTAATCAAGCAGAGGCATACATGCCCAGCATATATTTTTTTTTTTTTTTTTTTTTTAAAGATTTTATTTATTTATTTGATAGAGAGATCACAAGCAGGCAGAGAGGCAGGCAGAGAGAGAGGAGGAAGCAGGCTCCCTGCCGAGCAGAGAGCCCGATGCGGGGCTCGATCCCAGGACTCCGAGATCATGACCCGAGCCGAAGGCAGCGGCTCAACCCACTGAGCCACCCAGGCGCCCCCCCAGCATATATTTAAATTGAAGGTTTTAAGCTGAAGGTTCTAGCATCTTTTTTTTTTTATTATTAAGATTTTATTTATTTATTTGTCATAGAGAGAGAGGGCACAAGCAGGGGGAGTGGCAGACAGAGGGAGAAGCAGACTCCTTGCTGAGCAAAGAGCCAGATGCAGGACTTGATCCTAGGATCATGACCTCAGGGAAGGCAGATGCTTCACTGACTGAGCCAGCCAGGTATCCCAAGGTCTAACATCTTTATGGGACATTTTATCCTTTTTCTTTTCATTAGTTATCTTTTTGGAGCAAAATGATTAAGGCTTTATGGTACCATGCTTTAGAAACAATATATATATTTTTTAAAGATTTTATTTATGTATTTGATAGATCACAAGTAGGCAGAGAGGCAGGCAGAGAGATGGGGAAGAAGGCTCTCTGCTTAGCAGAGAGCCTGATGCGGGGCTTGATCCCGGGACCCTGAGATCATGACCTGAGCCAAAGGCAGAGGCCCAACCCACTGAGCCACCCAGGCACCCGAGACAATATTTTATTTATAAGCTTATTTCTTCCCCAAATGAGGGAAGGCTTTTGTCACATTATAGACAAATGTCTTTGCCTGTAAGTCAAAAATTTTAGGGGCTCCTGGTCGCTCAGGTGGTTAAATCATCTGACTCTTTGTTTCAGCAAAGGTCATGATCTCTTGGAAGGGGAGATTGAGCCCAGCCTCTGGACTCTGTGCTTAGTGGGGAGTCTGCTTGAGATTCTCTCCTTCTGATCCTCCCCCTACTTGTACTCCCTCTCTAAAATGAATAAATAAATCTTTTAAAAAATTTACTGTATTTTCTGGGAAACTTGCTAAATTTTATCTCCAAGCACTTTAAAAAAAAAAGATTTTATTTATTTGTTTTTAACAGAGAGAGAGAATGAGAGAGAGGGAGCACAAGCAGGGGGAGCTGCAGGCAGGCAGAGGGAGGGAGAGAAGCAGGCTTCTCGCCAAGCAAGGAGCCCAGTGTGGGGTGTGATCCCAGGACACTAGGATCATGACCTGAGCCGAAGGCCGCCACTTAACCGACTGAACCACCCAGGTGCCTCTCCAAGCACTTTAATTAAGTATTTTAACTTCACAGGGACTCCTGGGTGATTCAGTCAGTTAAATATCTGCCTTCGGCTCAGGTCATGATTCCAAGGTCCTGGGATGGAGTCCCCCATCTGGCCTTTCTCAATTTCTCCCTTTGCCTGATGCTCCTCCTTGCTGTGCTCGCTCGCTCTCTCTCTCTCTCTCTCTCTCTGACAAATAAATAAATAAAAATCTTTACATTAAAAAAAATATTTTAACTTTACAGAGCATTTCTTTCTTTCCTTTCCTTTTTTTTTTTTTTTTTTTTTTTTTAAAGATTTTGTTATTTGAGAGAGATCACAAGTAGGCAGAGAGGCAGGCAGAGAGAGAGGGGAAGCAGGCTTCCTGCTGAGCAGAGCACGGGTTGCGGAGCTAGATCCCAGGACCCTGGGATCATGACCTGAGCCAAAGGCAGAGGCTTAACCCACTGAGCCACCCAGGCGCCCCTCACAGAGCATTTCTTAACAGTTTTAAGTTTTGAGAACAGTTTGGGCTTACAGAAGAGTTGCAAAAATGGTAGAGAATTCTGATACTTCTTTCACCTGCTTCCTCTTGTGTTAATATCATACATAACTATAGAATGCTTACCAAACTAAGAAATTAACCTTGCTACAATAATATTAACTACAGTACAGAATTTATTAGGATTTCACCTTTTTTTTTTCCACCATTTTTTTTTTAACTAATGGCCTTACTCTGTTCCCGTGTCTAGTCTAGGATTGCACAGTGCATTTAATAGCCATGTTTGTGTAGTCTCCTCCAATCTGTGACAGTTCCTCAGTCGTTCATGACCTTGGCACTTCTGAAGAGTACTGAATAGTTATTTTGTGTAATGTTCCTCAATTTGGGTTTGTCTGCTATTTTCTCATAATTAGATTAAGGTTTTGCATTTTTTGGGAGGAGTACTACAGAAGTGAATGTACCCTCCTTAGTGTGTCAGGTCAGGGTGTACTTGATATATTTTACTGGTGATTTTGTCATGGATCACTTGGCTAAGGTGGTCTTTGTCAGGATTCTCCAATGGAAACAATATTTTCCCCTTTGTAATTAGTAAATATTTTGAGGGAGATACTTTGACACTATGCATATATCTAGTTTCTGTCATCAAGCATGTATTTATTTTTTTAATTGAGATAAAATTCATATAACATAAAATTCGCTATTTAAAAGTATACAGTTCGGTACTTTTTAGTATATACACAAGATTGTAAAATCATCCCTGCTATCCAGTTTCAGAACATTTTTTTTCACTATTGAAAGAAACCTGTACCCATTA